CCCCAAAACCCCAAAACCCCAAAACCCCAGCAAACATAAGCCAGATTGAAAACAATAAAAAATAAATATAAACCCTTAAAAATGAGCGTTCCAAAACCCAGTATTATGGTAAGTTCTGCTTGGAATTTTTACTATATGAAGTCAATCTCTTAGTTCACATCCTAAATCTTGCTTATAGTTCCAAGATTCTTTTGATGAAGACTGCAATATTCCTGAGGAGTCTCCATTGGACAGCCCTCAGACTTATTTGTCCAAGAAGTGCAATTCTAGTATTCTCTCCAGAGATAAGGGAAATATTAAGAGTCAAGAGCTTGATACCTTTAAGAATTATCTAGAAGACCAGTTCTCATGTAGACAAGCCCTAAATAAAGATCTTGAGCTTGCCCAAGACAAGGACCACGAAGGCTCCACCCAGATTAGGTCTGGAGAGTTCAGCTTTATGGATCTTAAAGAGAAATTTAAACCAAGAAGTGAGGTCAAGGATCTTCACAGATCCTCCAGCCTTTCTATTTCAGGAAACAACCTTGAGAGACACCTTTCTGGAGACAATAAAAGACTCCAACAGAGCTGGGAAGACAGCGAAAACGTTGACTCCAACCGTCAAGACAAGAAAGATATGAAAAATGATGATTACTCATATCTTCTCTTAAAACCCTCAAATGTTGCACCTGTAACAATGAGTGACATTGAAGCTGGCATATAAGATGCAGTGTAACTTAATTAATTCTAAACTTCTTCCCTTAAACCTTCCTCTTCCTCTCCTTATGCCATTCAACTAAAAATTCAATGTTCTTCTTCTAGTATCTTTCAAGTTGCCATCCAGCGAATTAGAGTTAGAAGATCCTATGTAAAAGTTCCATGCGTCCTTAGATAAATTTTCTTATTTGGAGGCACTTATAAGCGAGGATAGGAGTTTTACATATTATTAACAAGAAAAATATTGAGCAGGGAGTAAACAAGGTGGCTAGCCGAGTTTTTACATTCCAAACATGCTAACTTTCTGTTATTTTTAATTCCAAGATAAGCTTTATAGAAGATCTGACAAATTTTAACGTCGATTTTATAAACTAGTAACAAAGGAAAGTAAATTTCATAAATTTCTTTTGAATCATGCTTCAAAGGGTTTAAATGGGTGAAAAGACTATAAAATTTAGTAATAACACTTCAGTATCGTTAAAAATGGTGAGGAGTTCACAAATAGTTGCAGATACTTTATAAAATTAGTTCAATAATTTGTGCAAATAACTAGTATTCTTTGAGAATGTGTTTTACTCCCTTGTCAAAGGATATAGAGTCCTGACTTATTAAGAATTTTTCCAAAAAAAATTGTCATGATTCTACAATTATTATTAAGTAAATTTCTAAAAAAGCACCAAAATTTTTACATTTGGAAGCTGACAGAAATTCAGAGGTACACTTTTTTACTATCCAGAACAGGCTCATTCAGTCCATTTCAGTCTTTAAACCTTCCAAAATCTGCTTCTTGATAATTTTTCTCGATATTCCCAACCTAGTATTAATAATAGAAAAAGTTACTTGAAAGGTAATTCAGGTAAAGTAATTTAATTTTAAGAGACTGATTTCTTTATAAAAATAAAGTATTCGCGAACTAAAGTCACTAGATGTTTTATTTCTGGACTTATTATGCTGGGAAAGAGTAGGCATTTGCTCCATGAACACCCTACTATGGTATCGCTATAATTGGGAAGTCATCTAATAACCAGAAATATCTCTGAAAGAAAAATGTCAGAAAAATGAGTATAAGCTCAAACGAGAGATGAATTTTCCACATTTTGTACAAATTTTAAAAGCTAAATTCTTCAGTAAAAACAAGCCTCTAAAGGTTGAGAGTTCTTAAATTTTCATAATTTTTCTTAAGACTATCAGGAATGGTCAGTCGGGCTACTAATAAGTTTAAATCGATTAGGTAGGTTTCAGTAAGGAGTCCCATATTTCAGAGATGGCATGAGGCCTGGGCTTGATATTCAGATGTTGGAACTAAGTTATTAACATACATTTAGCTAGTTCAGGTTCAATAAGATCTATGGTTTTCAGTAAAGCCTAATCACTATATATCTCCTACCTTTCCATTATAAACCACTAAGGTAGGATAAGAAAGAAAATTTTAGGAAGAGAATTTAGAAAATTTCTCTAAAAGCATCCATATTTGTTTGAAAAATTAATATTTTTCCGAAAATCATTAGGCTCCTCCTCCTTCTTCAAGTGAAACAATTATTAGCAATTCTATTGTTGACTATCACAAGTGGGATATGAAGGCACTTGTATAATGACTCTCTGGACAACTTAGAGATATTTACCATCAAAAGACTGCTTTTTTAGCTATTTTATCAAAGAATTATTGCAGTTTTGATATTAATAGACCTCTTTCAGACGAAATTATTGATAACATCATTTACTTAGAGTAACAGAGATACCTTTAACTTTGATTTTAAAATTGACAGATTATTGTAAGTTATATATAGCCAAAATGCATAATATTCCATACTATTAAAGGAAGATCCTTAATTTCTTCATTCTCCAAAGTAAAATAGCAAAAAATAGATGAACTAGCCTCTCATAAAGTTTATTTCAAAGGATGATTTGATAAAATATACTCTAAGCATTCATGCTAGACCACTACAGAAAACGCGCTATAAATTCAAATTCTAGTTAGTACTAATGTCTTCAAACCTCATCCGGCTCTCCATAATTAACCTGGCAATTTTTATCGCTAAAATTTAGTCACAAGTACAAAATTTAATAAGAGTGACTCTAAAATTAAAAACTTAAACGGTCTCGCGATAATTTGGAGTTTTAGGGTATAAATAAGCTTACTTTATAGCAAAGTTTTAGTTTTCCTAGATTCAGTTACGAAATCAAAAGTTAGTGAGGGAATTAACAAGGCCTAGAGAGATTCATGAGCAAACCTCTGCTGCTCCTCTCACAGAGAAAAGGAGCCACAAATAGTTCCTTGTAGTAAAAGCTAAATCATAACGCACGAAATAAGGAGGAAATAGATAAAATATGCCTGAAAATTGGTTTTGTTATTCTCGATGAATTTACTAAGTACTTACGAAAGCTTGGAGAACTAGTCGACACATTTTGTCTACCAATGTAATAATGCGATACTTTAGCATCGATTTTTTTCAAGAAAATTTCATACCGCTTAGAACTGAGAGTTTAGAGCAAGTGGAAGGACAATTTGACCCTATCAAGGTTTAAGACTCTTTAAGAGAGCTCATTGGGATGAACATTTTAAGTAAATTACATCCTTTGGGACCTGAACTTTGGAAAAATGTTGTATCACTTTGGAAGAAATAGTTTTTTGGTAAACCTGATAAATTATTTGTTCTTTTGAGTAAATTTGTGCCAATATTCTATTATCGGGCTCTCAAAGTTTATTTAAGACAGTGGTGAGCAAGGTGATCATCTGTTTGCATATTTTAATTGGACAACTTATGTTAATTTATAACTTATTATGTTTAATCTCTGAATATCAGGAGCTACTCTTATGTAAACTTAGAATAAAAGTGAACTCATAATAAGAAGGGTACCTCACTTATCCACACTTGTTCTAAAAACCGAACAAATTTTCCAAAATGTTAGATTATGAAGGACTTTCTAGGAATCTGAGGGTAAACCTATTTTTTGGGCAGGCTTTTTAGGGGAGATTTGTGGTGAAGTTTCGAAAGGGGAGGTGGGTGGGAGGGGGTGATGCTGGAGGGGGTTAAGGGGTTTTGGGGTGAATTAATGGGGGTTGGAGATGTGGTTGGGATGGTGGTTTTGGGGGGTTGAGGGGGTTGAGGGGGTGGGTTTTAGAGTATTGGGGAGTTGTGAAATATGTGGTTTCTTGTTGGGAATAAATTTTTTAGAAGACTTATGTTTTAGAAGGAGTCAACCTAGTTAGATTTTTAGCTTTCGAAAAGCACAGTGAATCTCTATTTATCTGTTTCTTGTCTTTGGCGAGTTCTTATAAACTTGAAATTAGCTTATAATAAAGACTCTGGTGATTTTAAAAATTTAATAAAACTCCATTGTGAGATTCTAACATTTCAAAATCTATTGAATAGTCAACTAAATTCGCATTAGTTACTAAGTTTATAGTGAGCAGGAAAGCTCAACTGTTTTCTTATTACAGGAATCCTGGAGGAGTTCTTAATCAGACCCTCTATTCAAAATCTAAATTTTAGCAAGGTAAGTTCCTCGCTTGATAAAACGAGTTGAAACTTTTTCAACTTTGCTTCTACTTAATGATTTGAGATCATACAGCTGATTTAGCAAATTTTTCATAAATTCTTCAAAGAAGCTAATCAGATAAACCTCAGAATAGAAGGTGATTAGAAGCTTCACGCGGGTTAATATGCAACTTTTAAGGATCCTTCAGAGATCTCCAAGACTGTAATCACTACTTATGAGAAGGTCAATAGCTTATTGCCAGATATTTTCTATGAAAAAGAATCTACTAAAAGATCCAAATTTATTTACCATAATTGCTTAATAGAAGTGCATATGTTATACTACCCAAATGACTTACCAAAAATGTTTACTGCCGCCAAAAAGACATAAGAATACTAGCTAAAATATGCTAATCTTCACTTCGAAATCTTCCATTTTCCTTTAAAAAGGTAATTTCAATTCTTCGACCAGTCCGAGGGGTTTTGGGGTTTTGGGGTTTTGGGGTTTTGGGG